ATCAATCATAATCATCAATCATAATCATCAATCATAATCATCAATCATAATCATCATCAATCATCAATCATCAATCATAATCATCAATCATAATCATCAATCATAATCATCAATCATAATCATCAATCATAATCATCAATCATAATCATCAATCATAATCATCAATCATAATCATCAATCATAATCATCAATCATAATCATCAATCATAATCATCAATCATAATCATCAATCATAATCATCAATCATAATCATCAATCATAATCATCAATCATAATCATCAATCATAATCATCAATCATAATCATCAATCATAATCATCAATCATAATCATCAATCATAATCATCAATCATAATCATCAATCATAATCATCAATCATAATCATCAATCATAATCATCAATCATAATCATCAATCATAATCATCAATCATAATCATCAATCATAATCATCAATCATAATCATCAATCATAATCATCAATCATAATCATCAATCATAATCATCAATCATAATCATCAATCATAAATCATCATAATCATCAATCATAATCATCAATCATAATCATCAATCATAATCATCAATCATAATCATCAATCATAATCATCAATCATAATCATCAATCATAATCATCAATCATAATCATCAATCATAATCATCAATCATAATCATAATCATCAATCATAATCATCAATCATAATCATCAATCATAATCATCAATCATAATCATCAATCATAATCATCAATCATAATCATCAATCATAATCATCAATCATAATCATCAATCATAATCATCAATCATAATCATCAATCATAATCATCAATCATAATCATCAATCATAATCATCAATCATAATCATCAATCATAATCATCAATCATAATCATCAATCATAATCATCAATCATAATCATCAATCATAATCATCAATCATAATCATCAATCATAATCATCAATCATAATCATCAATCATAAATCATCAATCATAATCATCAATCATAATCATCAATCATAATCATCAATCATAATCATCAATCATAATCATCAATCATAATCATCAATCATAATCATCAATCATAATCATCAATCATAATCATCAATCATAATCATCAATCATAATCATCAATCATAATCATCAATCATAATCATCAATCATAATCATCAATCATAATCATCAATCATAATCATCAATCATAATCATCAATCATAATCATCAATCATAATCATCAATCATAATCATCAATCATAATCATCAATCATAATCATCAATCATAATCATCAATCATAATCATCAATCATAATCATCAATCATAATCATCAATCATAATCATCAATCATAATCATCAATCATAATCATCAATCATAATCATCAATCATAATAATCAATCATAATCATCAATCATAATCATCAATCATAATCATCAATCATAATCATCAAACATAATCATCAATCATAATCATCAATCATAATCATCAATCATAATCATCAATCATAATCATCAATCATAATCATCAATCATAGTCATCAATCCTAATCATCAATCATAATCATCAATCATAATCATCAATCATAATCATCAATCATAATCATCAATCATAATCATCAATCATAATCATCAATCATAATCATCAATCATAATCATCAATCATAATCAACAACATAATCATCAATCATAATCATCAATCATAATCATCAATCATAATCATCAATCATAATCATCAATCATAATCATCAATCATAATCATCAATCATAATCATCAATCATAATCATCAATCATAATCATCAATCATAATCATCAATCATAATCATCAATCATAATCATCAAACATAATCATCAATCATAATCATCAATCATAATCATCAATCATAATCATCAATCATAATCATCAATCATAATCATCAATCATAATCATCAATCATAATCATCAATCATAATCATCAATCATAATCATCAATCATAATCATCAATCATAATCATCAATCATAATCATCAATCATAATCATCAATCCTAATCATCAATCATAATCATCAATCCTAATCATCAATCATAATCATCAATCATAATCATCAATCATAATCATCAATCATAATCATCAATCATAATCATCAATCATAATCATCAATCATAATCATCAATCATAATCATCAATCATAATCATCAATCATAATCATCAATCATAATCACCAATCATAATCATCAATCATAATCATCAATCATAATCATCAATCATAATCATCAATCATAATCATCAATCATAATCATCAATCATAATCATCAATCATAATCATCAATCATCAATCATAATTATCAATCATAATCATCAATCATAATCATCAATCATAATCATCAATCATAATCACCAATCATAATCATCAATCCTAATCATCAACCATAATCATCGATCATAATCATCGAACAAAATAATCGATCATAATCATCAATCATAATCATCAATCATAATCATCAATCATAATCATCAATCATAATCATCAATCATAATCATCAATCATAATCATCAATCATAATCATCAATCATAATCATCAATCATAATCATCAATCATAATCATCAATCATAATCATCAATCATAATCATCAATCATAATCACCAATCATAATCATCAATCCTAATCATCAACCATAATCATCGATCATAATCATCGAACAAAATCATCGATCATAATCATTAATCATAATAATAATAATCGTCAATAATAATCATCAATTATAACCATCAATCATAATCATCATTCACAATCATCAATAATAATTATCAATCATAATCATCAATCCTAATCATCAATCATAATAATCAATCATATTCTTCAATCATAATCTGCAATTTTAATCATCAATCCTAATCATCCACCACAATCATCAACCATAATCATCAACCCATCAACCATAATTATCAACCATAATCATCAACCATAATCGGCAATCGTAATCGTCAATTATAATCGTAGATCATAATCGTCAATCACAATCTTCAATCATAATCATCAATTATAATCGTCAATCACAATCTTCAATCATAATCATCAATTATAATTAATTATCAATCATTATCATCAATCATAAATATCAATCTTAATCATCATTCTCAATCATGAATCCTAATCATCAATTATAATCATCAATCATATATATCAGTCATAATCATCAATCATAAATATCAATCATTATCATATTGGTATAATATTATTAATAATATTTTTCTTACAATATGTAAATCAATATTAAATCAGATTTTTTAAAACCATAACTAAAATTATGTTAAAGAAATTATAATATATCTAATAAATTTAAATAACCTCTAGTAATTGCTCCCAAACTTCTTATAACTAAAATTTAATTTAGTACTATCCCGTATTTAATCAAACAACTAAAATTATTTTGAAATAATTATAATTTACGTAATAAATTTTAAAAACCTAAGATATTTGCCAAAAACTTCTTATAATTCAAAACCCAAAAACAATTATTTTAAAATAATTATTTATATATAATCCATTAAATTAAAATAACCTAAAGTATTTTCCGCAAATGTTTTTACAGAAAAAATATTCAATTTAGAAATCCCTAACTTCACTCAAACCCTTAGAATCCTAACTAATATAACAAAAAATATAAACTCCAACATCCACGCACTTAACAATGCTCTTTACAGTGATTTGATTTTACACTTTACAGTGTTGCCGCTAGTTGGAGTCAAAATAGTGAGTGAAATGAAAGGATAATATACATTATGTATATTATTTAGCGCCTCTAACGGTAATCTCACAAACTAAATTTTGTATATTTTCTTTCATATCTGACACTAAATTGCGTCCACTTAATTCATTATTACTGCCATCTGGTATTAGTTAGATTAAAATAAGGGTTAACTTCAGAAACCCAACCTCAAAACAAACTTATCTCTGTAAAATTGATTTAGTTCCGTGCTTTTACAAGGCGGGAAAAGCCGAAAACTATTTTGCGTCCGATATTCGGACGTAAAATAGTCATGGAAGCAAAATGTAACGTAATGTGTATGTTATCGGACGCAAAATACTGCTAAGGATATATATATATATATATATATATATATATATATATATATATATATATATATATATATATATATTTTACACGTGAACACTGCCTCAAGCAAAATGTACTACATCTAGTACAATTGTGAATTGTACTAGACTGGCAACACTGGTTTGGAAACCTAGTTTGTGAGCGGCGCGCCAATTAATGAGTTCTTTTGACGTTTGAAGGATATTTTGGCGTGTTGTTTTCTCTTTTTAACTTTATGCATTCATCAAATCGTCTCACTCATGTTAGGCTCACTCATCATAATGCGCCACAGACACAGTATACTTAGGTATTCTATGCCACAGAGACGCGATCAGCCAGAGGGCAATGATGTACCAAAAAATATAGATTAACACGTATGAAAATAAAAATATTAAAATTAAATTTATATTTTTATGTTATTTATGTAATTTTAAAATAATGTGTTTTTATGAAATTTAACTGGGTGTTCACTGCACAAATGAACCAATGGAGAAACCGCCCCTGTTTGTAACCTATATTTTTATGCCTAAACTAGTAGCCGCTTGTATAAACAACAATAAAAATTGTGTTGTAAATGGCACCGAGTTTTCTTTATTTTATAATAATATACCTGTCCGGGAAGCAGGGGACCTATTTTCAACTATAGGAGTACTCATTTCATGAAAAGTGTCATATGTCAATGTGGAAATTCGCTTACTGTTTCTCTCGGTTTATTTCAAGGGAATTAAAATTCTTAGTAGAATTTAGGAGAGAAATGAGTTCTCCCATAGTTTGAAAATAGGTCCCTAGTCCCGGAATGTGACAGACTCTCGGTTCTCGTCGAAACACGGTTATCAAAGACTATTCTTGTTATCGGATTATACCTACAAATTATAGCTGCGCGGGCAACTGAAGAAATTAGAGGGTATTATATGACGCTCTACTATTTCTAATTTATTTTACAGACCATCACCGCGACCGAACACATCAAGCATCGACAGGCTGGCAACAATGTCGCCCGCAGCAAGAAAATTGGCAACGTCGCGACTTAAACTCGGAGTCAATTCGGATTTGAGGTCCCTATATTCGCCGAGTCCGATAATTACAAGGCAAAAGACGCCGCTTCCTTCGCCGAGAAGAGCTTCGACGCCATTAGTGAACGTGATAAACAAGAAAACTACCGCCGAGGTATCTACGGATGATTTGTTGAGAATCCAGTTACCAAAGAGGAAAAAGGCGTCCGATTTTTTTTGAAAAATTAGTTATTTTTTTTATTGTAATATTAAGAAGTATAATAAAGTATTTTGTTATTTCGTTTTCGTTTTGGTCTATACTTATTATTACGTGTTAATTCACATATAAACGTATTTACAATATACAGGGTGGGCACATATTATTTGAACCAAAATATGAGCCATGGACCAAATATGCCTTAACCTTTTCAGTATAGCAGGGGCAGAAGTTGGAGAAAGGCTTTTGTCAGTTCTTCTACTTCATACACATAAATTGACAGGTTTGCGGCGGATCTAACCGAAGTGGACGCGATATATTGGCGTACAAAATTATTTTATAGATGTTAATAACAATTTGGAGTAAATAGTTTAATAAATTGTGAAAAGCTGTTGAAGTTTTGTAGAATTATGATTTGGATATTATAATACATGTCTAATAATTATAGTCCATAAATACATGTGATTGTCCGGGCCGCCGGTAACAATTTAAAATTACTTATTCTATGAAACGACATTGGCAGGTAAGCATTACTGCGAAATTCTCGAAGTCGTCCGACGTGGTTTGACGTTTACCTCCTACCTACCAAAAGCCTTTCAAACTTCTGCCCCTGCTATATGGTTGACTAATATATTTTTGGCATACAATCCGGTAACAGAGTTGGGTCGGATACAGGAAAAAAGTATCCGAGTACCGGATACGGATACTTACAATGTATCCGGATACTTTTTAGGATACTTTCACCTAAAAAGTACTCGGATACAAGTATCCGGATACTTTTTCGGATACTTTTAAAGTGAGTTAAAATAATGTTTTCATATCAATATTTATAATTTTTGCTCAGAATATTAATTTGTTTTAGAGAGGTTTACAAGTTTATTATTAATAATGTAATTTCTGGAATATAAAACAGCAAGCGCCTAAGTGAGTGAACACTTGTATTGCGCTATTATGCAATAAGATTGTTTACGAGTAACAATAAACAATACTAGGCATAAATAAATTATCGAAAATAGAAAATAATATAACAGAAACAGGAAAAAACTACTCAATAAATTGTTTATTATTTTTATTCTGTGAATATAAAACATTAAAACAAAATGAAAAATAAAACATACAGGTGCGTGTAAATAAAACGAGTCGCGCCAAAAACCAGCCAGTGGCGTGTCCACATAATTCTAAAGAAATAAGCTCGTTGATGGCGCGACTTGCCATGTTTACACAACCTTTCGATATTCTCGTCAATGTCAGATGTATTCGACATACCATTTTTTGTGGATCTTCCGACGAGCGGTACTTGGTAGATTCGAAAGAAAGAGGAGTGAGAGATTGCTGAATGTTTCGTTCTGGTATAGGCAAAGCAGGCTCGTATATTTGATCTTGTCAGATCTGTATGCTTTATTGATGGTGATGACGACATAAATAATACATGATCAGCAGGGGCGGCTTGTAAACAAAATTTTTTGGGTTCACAGTAACATAATATAGATCCCGGTACAGATATAGGTAAAAAACTGTCAGTGTTTTAGAAAGGTATATTATAAACTTTCTAGAACACTGAAAGTTTTTTCATACATCTGTACTGATACATATTTTATGTCTGTGAACCACCCCACGAGCCGCCACTGATGATCAGTAATATTATGAGCAACAACGTCATACATGTATGAGGTTATTATAAGACATATAATTATTGAGCATATCATTTTACTTATAATATTTTTATTAAATGGGAGTGATACCCCGCTGATTTTATTTATATTTATTTGTCAAGCGATTTAAATGAAATTTTGGAGAGACATTTTACACCGAATTCTATATTCTCTTTTATTTTTACATTTTTTTTATCTAAACTGATTTTCCGAGATATGTTTTTTAGTTATACCATTTTTTGAAAAACTGTATTTTAAACAAAAGAGATACTGAAATTACCTTAACTATCTTTAAATTCCAAATTTCTACTCTTTTTCTATTAAGAGGAATTTATTCTCCTATTCTTTACTTAATTTTTATTTCTCAAGCGATATAAATGTGATTTGTTTACACATTTTATGCGAAATTCTAAAGGTGCGTCCTCACCGAATCAAGACTGTCGATCGACTCTGTCTATCGACGTTGTCGACTTTGTGTGTACGCGGCAATCGACGGTGTCGATCGACAAAATAAATCGATCGACATGTCGATTTGTTTTCCATCGCCTGTCGGTAAACATGAAAGAGCAGTCGATCGACTTTAGTGTGCGGACATGTTTTCGACGTTAGACATTCGACAAACTGTTAATACTGAGTACTAAGTACTCAGTAACGTCTTGCTCCAGTATGGGAATAGCAGGTCTATAATTGGTGTCTTCTTTACAAATTTTTGGCCCGATTTCTTGTAATAAATATTCAAATTCACTTTCCGACATTCAAAAAAAAAAATCTAAAACCACCATTACACCTGTATTCAAGGCTCAATATGTTGACGCCATTTTTTTTTAAATCTTTTATCAATTACTAGCGTAGTATCTAGTTCTAGTTTGAAGACTTGGTCGAACCCAAAATCTTCTTTTTCGTGCAAATTTTCTTTTTTTTAGTCGCGATAATAATATATGTGGCACAAGCAACTATAATGTTATCTTCGTTAGACATGTTAATTTCGACTGATCGACAAACATTTCTGTCAACTCTGGTGTGGACAGATGCAGTTTTGTAGACTTGTTGATCAACTATGTCGATCGGCAGTGTTGATTCTGTGAAAAATACGTATTTTATTTTTAATTTACAGGGTAGCTCAAAGTATTATGATTATGTATTCTAAAAGAGATAATATGGATTGGATCAGTTACGATTGTGGTAAATAATTAAAAAGTATCCGGATACTTACAAATTTGGTCACCGATACGGATACCGGATAAAAAATTTGAAAAGTATCCGGATACAGCTTTCGGATACACATAAAGTATCCGGATACTGTATCCGGATACAGAAGTATCCGGATACTACCCAACTCTGTCCGGTAACGAATATTTTTGTGAAACAGACGAATACCGAAATGACACAGTGATGTGTTAAACATCAGGTACATTTATGTGCGTGAGTGTTCCTCATTTTGTGCCATAATAAGAGTATAACAAAAATTTGTACTTTGTACTGCATTTGCTAAATACATGATTTCAATACTTTCAATTAATTTTGAATGTTTACGTGATTTTATTAAGCATTTACATTGTTATCTTCGTAGTTCTTAATTTATTACGAAAAGTCTTATTACAGAATTACACAATTCTAAAACAAAATTTAGCACTTATCCAGACAAAAACGAAGCGCAGGCACCCACTTGGTCTGGAAAACGATCACGAAGAAGTAAACTAGACAATACTTGAGGCACATGAATCAAGCTGCCCCATTTAAAGTAATGAAACTATTCATCTGTTAAACTTTCGTTCCGAAGTGCGGAAGCTCTATACTAGGACCAAGCACAGCTGAAATTGGCAGAGGCACACTGAGACACTTACCCCTGTGACAAATAAATCGGTAAAGCTAAACGTAAAGGCTTCAGAAAATTCTGCGAGGAGATTAACTCTACACCTGCGGCAGCGAGACTGCACAAAAGGCCCTGGCAAAATGGAGAGTTTACACAGTTATGGCGTTAAAGAACCCAAATATAAGCTTCACGAAGAGTGAGGAGGAAAGAGCTTCCCTTTTACTCCAAACTCACTTTCCTGGGAGCACACCTTTTTCAATAAGGAACACAACTAAGGTAAGCAGACCCTCAAGAAAGGCCGCTGTAGTGGCCAAACACGTATGCAGCAGCAATCAATTAGAAAGGGCTATAGATACTGGATGGAATATGTATTTATTAATATTAAAGAAAAGCCAGTCACTTTTATTCTAAAAGTAGGGGAAAGGGATACCACACATCCTAAATCCTTCCGACCAATCAGCCTCATATCCTTTGTATTAAAAACAACGGAGAAGACTGTTGATAATTATATCAGAACAGAAGTCCTCGAGAGGGTGCCAAATTAGTAAATAAGGTCACAAAAGCCCTAATGGTACGCAGAAACATGGCGGGTAAAAGATGGGGATGTATCTCGAACCCACTGCGATGGATGTAGCAGGTGCCATTACCTAATGCCTCGCCTGGCTTTGGATTCTCACCAACCTCTATCGCCTCTCCATCACTTGTCACCCTAAACTTTTTCTTAAATTTATTCATTACGGTCTATTTTAGAGAAATTATGTACATGACATTTAAAGAATTTTCTTCTACAATAATAAATAACAAAACCTTTCCTTGTAGTAAAAAAACGACAAGCTATAAATTGTCTCTGAAAAGAAATGACTGGGTTATTTCAATCTGTCGACATAAAATGGGAATAAGTTTTGGTAGTTTGCTATACAAATATTTGGAATAACCCAATCCAATTATGGTACAAATAATAATAGGGGCGTTCTTACTCGTATCTCCCGATGATTCCGCAGAAGAAATCTAAGGTGCCATGGTGATGGAATATTCATCTACTACGATGTTTTGCCTGGTACAGTTTTTGAAGTCGACCCAGACAACACACCAAATCCCAGAGATATCCGCAGAATATCTTTTGTGGATATCCAATATATCCACAGGATATCAGAAATATTCCGTGGATCTAATATGGATATCCAAATGTCCGTCTATATCCTGGATATAGAAGATATCCTAATGGATATTCAGCAAAATATCTAATGGGTATCTTCCAGAAAATACAAGAAATCACAGAGATATCCACAGAATATATTTTGTGGATATTCAATATATCCAATATGGATATTTTTTTCCTGTCGTGTCTTTATTTGTCGTTTTGGATTTTTGGTTGTTTTTAGCGAATATTCTGATAACTTTTACGTTTTTTTAGTTGTTTATTTTTAGTTTTTGTTGATGTTTTTAATTGTGGAGTTGTTAATTTAAGACTTTATTGTACGTATTAAGATTAGGTTTATAAACAATCCCGCGTCAAAGAGGAGGAGGATATACTTGTATTTATCGTAGATGTACCTCAAGAACAGGTGGCAAAGAAGGATTGTTCACTTTTGTGGAAGATCCAGTGAGGTAGGTATGAA